CAGGGATCCAATATCAAAAAGGTAATAAAAGCTGGAGAAACTCGCAGCATTGACTTTACACAAATAACCCCAAACCACATAACCCTGTAAAATGATCAGATGTTTTCAAAATGAATGCAACGAAGGCAAAACCGAAAGGCATAAAAGTGAATATATCAAAGAAGTTAGGATTAGGTAAAGGTTATGGAAAGGACCATGTATTGACCAGCTATGGTTAAATGTAGGGTAAACCTCAAGGGAAATAAAGGTTAATCAATGCAATGTCCTACATGTGTAGAAGCAACAAACAGTGTGTCTGTGTGTGTATTGGGTTATGGAAAGGGTGTTGAACAGTGCTGACCAAGCACTAAGCATCTCATACATATAAGTTATGCATTATGAGAATATATTTTCTGAATATACACACGCATATATAGCCGTGAAAATGTCTCCTTGATTTCTGTCTTCAATGGATTTAAAAGAACTGGGTGATGTTGAACCTGTAAACATGAGCCCTCTTTATATTCATCGTTAATTTATGGTAATTGAAAGCAAAATGTAAGACGCTAACTGGCCAGAGAGTAATATGTGTTAGTTAATAGTCGAGGTGTGAATCTAAGCCAGGGTGAAGTATTATCTAACAAATGTAATAGCATCCTAATAGCATTATATTCCCTCTGGCTACTGCACAATTTTTACATCAAGCTAAATGCCATTTTGCTTCCAATTGCAAGCTAGTACTGTAAAGCTATACTATAAAATGTACCATGGTTGGCAAAAGCAACAAAAAGCGTTGTTAAACATTCTGTTTATGTACGTTTTAAAAATCCACAAATTCTAAGGCTTTACTCGAGTGGGATGTATGAAGTGTGAGAACTGGAAAAAAGGGTCAGAATAAAACAGCATAAAGGCTTGGCGAGGAGGCAAACTACTAAAGAATATATAAAGAGAACACAAGAGACTTGTATGTTTATGTTGTGTGAGCTGCTGGCCGTCACATGCATGGCCAAGAGGCGCCGCATTGGAAGTGCAATTACATGCAAATAGCCACATTGTCAAGGCCATCAGTGGGAATGAATGGAAATAAAAGAAGCACTTCAAACACCATCTATTTTTATTGACAATCAAACGCTGGTCCAGCACTACCATTAAACTGTTCTCTTTTGATCAGACATGTGGCATGAATACTTTGCCAGAGCCCCCCGTTGCTATTGGTACTAAAAATGAGGGAAGATGACAAACTGAAATAGGGCAATTTCTGTTGACAGGCTTCTCTAAAACAGGAAATCCTGACATGCTGTAATAGCTAAAGCATCAAGCCAAAAGACTCCATGCTGTGCCAGCAACTAGAAACACTGGCTCCTTCTAGACAGCTGCTAAAGAAAACAGAAGAGCAGTCGATAATCTGTGTGTTCTTGGTGAGATGAAGGAAAGATTGCCGGGCCCAGATTGGATTTTCTAGTTTCTGAATTCTCATCTGCAATCATCAGCAACACTTCTCCCAGTCCATCTGTGGACAAGTGTCTGATTATTGATGAAAGAAAACAGCTGACAATGAGAGACGCTTTGGAGCAGTTGGAGACGCAAGCCTCAGGACCTATTTATTCATGCTGAGGAATTCATTTTGATCCGGAGAGCGTCCTTTCAGTGAAACGGGCAATAACAACAAGAACTTGATTTTAGTAAGTGAATCAGGGAAAATAACTGAGCCACGGTTTTGAAAGGCAGGATGCTAATACTGAAATAATACTAATAATAATCTCTGTCCTAAAGGCTTTGAGTGTAGGCTATGTGAACAAACTCATAACATTCGGATGGTGTTTAATTCCACAGAGTTTCCAGAGCCTCTTCCATCAACTTAAAAGTCAGAAATAATCAGCGCTCAGCAATCAATGGCTGAAGCAACAGTATAACACTCACTGCGGGCCCCCATAGAAATCAGGCGGCATGCCAATCTGAGCCCCTGCCAACAAATGTCTGCTTAAATGGTGACTCTCATCCTGCACACCGGATATTCAATTTGTTCCGTAAGCCGGGGATGAAAAAGCAATTATTCACAGTCCCCTCTTTTCACGATCTGTTTCTCTCAGATATGTCCCATCTTCCCCCCACTAACAAATAAACCTCCAGATTAGCGCACTGTGTGGCTGCTCACAGGGGCAGCCAGTTGAAGCACTTAGTTCAGGCCAAAAAAAGTCTGTCAATCAGTTTGAACGATGGGAGTGAGGTTTTAGAAGACAAAAAACACACTCCCCAGCAGCCTTGTGGGGCATGGGTAAAAAGCCACTAGATAATGGCTTGATAGCTGGATGTCACTTCGAAGCAAGGAGGAAAGGAGTAAGCACATGTCAGAAGAACACTTTCTTTTACATGAATTACACTACACAGAGCGCCCTGAAACCAAGCAGCCCTAACTTGATCAGGGAGAAGAGCTGTCAGGGGAGCCCACTCAGCCGAGGCTCCAATTTACACTTGGGGTATTAGGTGGGACCCTAGCGTGACTGTGAGGGGGGAATAAAAACACAGAGCTGCTTCATATGCTCTCCGTTACTGGAACACATCCTGGGACAAGTTGGTGGATGTAGTGAGGCAGAGAGAAGCTCATGTTTCAGTCATAACCCTTGTTTCCTTCAGATGTCGCAGGAAGAGCACCTGTTGATTGAGAGATGTGAAACGGTCTGCCAGTGTAATTGGCTCCCTCCGTGTTCAGATAGCGAGGATACAAAATTGATGTACGAAAGATGAAAAGGGGGAAGAAAGACCGTGGCAGGACCATAGGGTGTATGGAAAAGAGGGATAAGGCTCAGAAGTTATCCATCTGATAAGGGCAGTGTGACAGCAGCAGACCTATGGATGTCGAGGAAGCTTAAGGCTCGACATACATGATTGAGTTTTCCCACCTCGTGTCCCATTCCACAAAAAAACTTCAATGTATGTGCTGCCTTCCAGGCCCAGCTCAAATAATGCAGGACTTCGCATTATCCGGACACCAATTCTATTCAACCATTTCTATGTTAGGAAGCTATAGAAATCACGGAGAAATAAGATGCCAAATGAAGGGTTTTAAACGAGCGCCATTCAGAGCACATTGGGACAGGGTTTGCCTGAAAGAAAATGGCATGACGGGTGAAGCTTCGTCGGCTGGCCCACTTAAGATAACACGAACGGTTAGCCTTCAAAAGGAGTAGGCCTAAGCCAAGGATGATTGTCAATGCCATTTCTAACAGCATTGTAACCAAAGAACAAAAGGGCTTGTTCATTCTGCTGATTTGCATTTTAATGTCTGCATGCAAAAAAGGATTCAACAGTCCTTTTGCGCAATAGGTGACCAATCTGGAGCATGGAAATGAACAGCAGCTGGGAGACATTGCTGAAGTGAGGAGAAACAAAAAAAAACATCCACAGTGCCAAGGAAATTAAAACAAGCACCCGAACTAACTTAAATTGAAAAAAAAAAAAAAAGCATATTGGTTAGATTTCTTAGATTATAACCCCTATTTTCAAAAATCAATCTAATTAGATTGTTGCAAAATGTGATAGTGTACCACAGCTGGCTCTGATAAAACAATACTTCCAAATGTAAACATCTTCTTATTAACGGGTTCGATGTTGAGCTGTTTATTTTTTATGAAAAGTACCTACTGTCTCTTCATAGCCTTAGTACTTTGTATTAATATAAGGCTACAGTGTAAAATCTGGGTTTTATGTCTCCAACACGGTTTGTTGCTACATTATTAATATTGCTTAAATATTTCATTTGTTAAATTATTTTCAGAATGTGTGATGTTCTTCGAGGGCTCCAACACATCGACAATGGTTCCTAACTGCCTAAGCAGCCAAGTGCATAAAGTGATCACGATCTTAATAAATGAGCGTGGACATTTTGTGTGACCGTGTTCATCTTCCTGTTACCTCATCATTGCTTTGACACAGATCACAGTACCTGTTAACTCTCCAATAAGCAGTCCGTGCACAAAGCCAAATCGGCCCAGCTGTTACATCCTTCATGGTCTGTATTAGAATGATGAGCGTGTAGAATCGAGCAACATTGTAATGTGGCAGGCTTTGGGGTTTTAAAAAGCGGAAATCTTTGTTTGTAAGATAGTGTTTTAAGTGGCTATGAGGGTAGTTCTAACAAATTGTCAGAGCTGAATAGTAAATGTGGTTCCCTTTAAGCTTTGATGCAGATGTCTGTGTGTCTTTTTTCTCGTAAAATTCCAACCCCACAGCAACAAACGCTTCCATAACTACAAAGGATAAATGACAAGGCGGAGGATGAATACTCAGCATCATGTTGAAAATCTCCATGTTTAAAACTAACACCATTTGAGAGGGACGTTCTCTTTAAATGACCATCCATCACTAAAGAAATAAAAAATGCTTAGGCTTTTTTTCATGCAAGGAGTGCATTTCAATCAACATACATCTATTTCACGCTGCTGGAGACTATCATATTCAAATGTAATTACAAAAATACGTACCGATATGCACACATTCCAGAAATGTGGTGCTAGGTGGTGACCTTACATTAGAAAAAGGCTTCACATTGTCTTTACTTTGAAATCAGCTCTTAGACAGTGTCAAAACAGAACACACACGTTTCTCTGATTTCATGCGTCTCCAGTCTGTAGGCAATTATTGCTTTTTAGGTGACCTTCTTAAAGATGGAGGGCAGACAGTATAATCTGGATGATTAATCCAGCGTTTACTTTCGCTAGTAAGAAGAGCACAGGTGTTGCTAATAGCTTGAAGGATGAATCTGTTTTATTTTAGCGTCCCAGTTAGTCATGAAAGTGTGACGGTGAACTAGCAGGCACACTACCAGGACCCTGAAATGTATCAGCTGTAAGAAATTCAGCGTACATTATTTAGTATTATTAACACGTGTGCTTTTTTAGTTTCCACACTGTATTGATAACTTGCTAAACCATGACCCTTAACTAGAGCACCTTTCAGACCGAGAAATCCATGTACCGAAACATAAATAATGGAGAAAATAACTGATTTATAGAAATATTTACCGCAAGTCGCTGGTGGTCAACCACTAAAAGAGGATGAGGGGGGGCTGGTTGTGGCTCTTCCTCCGTCCTTTCAGTAATTCCCTTCAGCTGCTCTGACATCTCGGCTGTGGAACCCCCTATAAAAAGACAAATGGATTATTGATGGAAGAAGGGTTGACCATGTGAGTTACATCAAAAACATCCTACAATGAAGGGGTCGGCTAAATTTAAAAACCTCTTCGGAGTCACGAACTGCCGAATAGCACAAACTAGGAAATAAATTCCAACTGCCATGGCTACAAGATGAATGCAATACGTGAAGAGAATACATATTAAAGTACTTGCAGCTACAATATTTCACATTTGGTCTTTTTCCTGTCCATTTATAACAGCGCTCAAGCGACACTTTGATGCAAGCAAAATGCCTGGCTCAGCTTGTAATGAGTGCGGGGGCGGAGTGGCTGGGTTGTCTGTTGTTTGAGGAGCCCTGGTTTGTTTTTGTACCGTTTGCTGATCGTGCCATCCTCTGATGGCTTCTCCATATTCTAGGAGCGCCATTACCTCGGCTTTCCAGCTGGCCCCTAGCCGTCACAAGCCAAACCACAGGCCTGTAATCACACCCATAAACCTTTTGGCTTATCTCTGACTCAACAATAGAAACGGCATAATGGCTCATGGCAATTGTGAATCTTTTATAGACACAAAAAAAGAAGTCAGAATACATTATCTAGAAGCTGACGGGTGTCTACAATGGTACTCGTAGCTTCAAGCATGTGGGGTTTCTCCATTGAATTATACTATCTGCTAAGCCAGAGGATAGCATTTCTATATTCTGTATGACTTATGTTGCATAATTCATGTCCTCTCTCTACTTTAAAAGCTTAACCGAGTGCAAATCACAGGAGCTGGGTAGTAATCAAAAAAGTAATTCATCGTCGTAATTAGGTGGTGGGCAAAGCACTGACTGGATGTATACAAATTAACAGATTTTGTTAACTTGCGTAATTGCATATCTACTGTGAAGATCAACTGATTAGCAAGTGAAATGAGGAAACCAAAACGAGTAGCTGAAGAGTGTATTTATTTATTTTTATTTATTTCATTACCTTTGCTTATTATGCCTGTTTTTAAATGCCTTTTTAATAATGTATTTATGCTGTTTTTGTTCTTAAATGTCTTTTGGTTTTAATCTGTAAAGCACTTTGAATCGCCACGTGCTGAAAAGTGCTATATAAATAAAATTGCCTTGCCTTGAAAGATGTGCTCTCGAATCTCATCTGTGACCCGTAACTCATTACTTCAAATACAACTTGCATCCAGCAACAACAGCATTTGGATTCAATGTTTAGTGCTGTATATATTTACATTTTCAAGGAATGCTGAAAACATACAAAAATAATAATATAATAATACTTGAGATGAAGTCTGCACAGTTTATCACTTATTCATTATTATCACGAAACGGCTGCTTTCAAAGTAGACCGTTAAACTAAATTGCGCTGAGTACAGGTGAGGAAGAAACTTATTTTCATGCTAACATCTGGTAATTAGCAGGAATGTAGCACAGAGTGAAAGTGAAAGCAGTGCCTTTGTGATTCTATTTTGGGCAAAAAAGTTTTAGCACAATGTACCTTCTAATTTGGTCCTAGGAGATGCTCTAAAAATAAGGACTCTTCTTAGTTTGAAATAAGATTTGTTCTTTTGCAGCATTATAATACAGCATGAAGTGAAACTGCTGTGTTTGTTTCAATGTGTTAGTCTAATTGAAATAGTGTGTCCCAACCCCAAATCAATTACTTCTTCGTTATAGATTATGGTTGTCTCAATATTGATCAAAACAATCCTGATAATCATGTTGGCAATAGTTGTGCTTGAAAGAAAGGGAGAAAGAGCTCTATTTTCCAATTTCTAATTCTATTTAAGATCACAGAAGCCTCAAGGTGTAGCATTATACCTTCTGTATGTTGATGTTCCACAACATTTCCTGTTTCTGCTCTCCCATCCTGGGGAGGGTGCTCCTGAGTTGGGTTGCTCTCGTGTTTATCTTTGTGATCTTCCAGTTCTGGTTCATTAGAGCACTGAGCCGTGCTATGAGCAGTTCTTTTCTCACCCTCGCTGCTCCCCTGGAGGCTGTGTGAGTCCAGGCTGTCCATTGACTCGTTTCCATTCACACAGTCTGCTTGTGATACTAAGACACCCTCTGTGTGCTTAGGCTGGACCTCAGCATCTGAAGATTTGGACAATTCAATTGACGGCTGGAAGTCAGCCTTCTTGGACTGGCCATCCCCATCTGCCTGGGGCTGAGAACTGCCACTGAGGCGAAGCGGCTCACTGGGTTTCTCTGTGTTCTCAGGCTCTGCCTTTTTGGCCGAGGGTTCCTCCTCCGTAGGCGTTTGCTCTTTTTGGGCTTCGCTGTCATCTGGAGGTTCAGCAGGAGCTGCAACAGGGGGCTCGTTGGAGCTCTCCTCTTCCGTAGAGGGGACATGGGGATGGTGGCCATTGGGCTGGGGTCCCATGGTGTCACATGATGATTCCTCGTCCGGCGTTAAACACGAGTCACTGGGCCCTACAGCTTCCACCTCGGCCTCGGGCTCCTCCTCCTCCTCTTCCTCCTCGTCCATTCCTTTTTTATAAGTCTTCTTCTTACGAATGATGCCCCGCCCCCAAGATGGCCGCCGCCGAATCTTCCGCTTTATGTGATCTATGATAGAGAGAAAAAAAAGGAGAAAGACAAATAAATAAAATATTACATTAACCATCAAAACATTTAAAGTTTAAGAATAACTAAGAACTAGAATGTATCCTTCTGCTAACAAGTTGCTGTTTACATCCATGTCTGTCTAAAATCTCACCACCATATTTTTATGGTATGAGACATTTGTGTGAAATTGTCCAAATGAGCATTATTTCAAAGAAATATCTTGGGGGGTCACAGTGGCAATGACCTTTCACCATCAAATTCAGTTGTGTTTAGTCCAGGTGCATATGTGATCCAAATTTGAAAAAGAGACATAATGTTAAAAAGATTGGATGGTGGAAAGCAAGGACATAAACACAACTTTCTCATGTTTAACACCATGGTCTTTTTCGTCATCATTATATTCGTGTTTGCAATTGAATGTATTTTAATATGGACGTTTGGCCTTTTTCAAAGATTTACAGGCAGTGGGTGAAAAAGATTGTAAGAGAGAGGCAGCAGCCCTGCTACATCATGGTTGTTGGACACTAATGACAACAGATGGTGTTCTGGGTTTTTAAGAGGAAGGCAGAAACAGAAGCCGGCTTTCCGAGAGTGCAGTAAAAATGTCAAAGCAAGAAAGCAAGAATGCTACATGCAGTGAAACTTGAAGGAATTTGCCTTCATTTACTTCCAAAGCAGACGCTGAGATACAGACCAGAGCAACAAAGTCAGAGAGAAGAGCCAACAGAACGAAAGTGTGAGAGAGCAAACGCATAGGGACCCACACATGTCGGTTTTTCCCAGGGACAAAAGCATTGAGCCACATCAGAGGGTATAATGCTCAGCACCAGCAGGATAAAAACTGTAATCCTATCATAAACTATGAACAGTCTCAAAAAGGAAGAAATCACTTCATAAAGATCCCACATGCATGTGCATGATGTGCGTCATTGACCCGAGATGTGAATATAGATCACAATGGACTCAATTGATTGATTAAAAATCCAAGCCATTGTATTTCAAGTCAAAGGCCACATAAATGAGCTACATCTACGAGGTGGATCTTATGCGGAATCAATAACCTTGTCAGCCTGGTTCTGAAAGGACTAAATGGACTGCATTATTTTATTCAACATCTTACTATACAGTATACTTATACTCCCTTTATGCTTTGAGCAAAGCGTTTGATTTAATACTACCGAAGGTTTCCATTGTATAATTCGTACCTTCCCACAAAGACACAAATAGGCAATATCTGACAAGAAATCATGATATGCCTGCTTGTTGACTGTCAAGTCTCCTTTCCCACAAAGCTTTTAACCACATATCCTTTTACCACTGTAAAGATGTGATTATGCACACTGTGCGTACGTACTTCAGAGGTAGCTCGAAAATGGAACCTGTTGTGAAGTACTTGTCAATGGAAAGGGAACAGAAATGGAAACATTACACAACCATTTTTTATCCTAAAAAACATAACATAAACAGGGATAATAAGTCACAACTAGCACAACAAAAAACCCATGGAGAACTGGAGTATGCTTGCTGCGAGCTAATGCTCGACAATAATTCCAACAAATGCAAATTCACATAACTTTAGAACATTTAGGTAATATTTCGTATCATGCACACTTTCAAGGACATTTCGAAAAGTATTTAGTCCATGTGATTAAGTGAGGCCGTGAATTTTTCACTACTCTGATTTTATAATACACCCAGTAATTAAGCCGTGTTCCGGCTTTTGTTCATTAATGGAGACCTTTTAAAAACAGCGGTATGAGCAAGGTGCATGCACAATAATGTAAATGATAATCGCGGGAGAAAGGACAACCGGTTTGCCACGAGTAATTCACACATTTCACAAACACTGGTCTTTAGGAGACAAAAAAATGATAAGCCAGGGCCTGGGCAGTTTTCCCTGTAGAGAAAGCCACCAGAGCGGGAGGTTCAAAGAGACAATGACACCACACACACACGCACGCACGCACGCCATGCTTCAGCGATCGACAGCCATTATTCCCAGTTTGTCATTGAGTCTTTTTTCAAGTGTCTAAGGTGGGATGGAGCTTTGGTTTTGGTTTCCTTCTGATCGGATCTGGAACGAGGAGACAGCCGAAGGGTAAGCTATGAGAGTATGCGAAAAAGTGCCATTCTTTTTCAGGCATGACTGGCCAACGAGATAGTTTCAATGCAGTAACTTGGAGATTGGAAAAACAGCAAAAACTAATAATTTGTATATTATCCGAGAGGATACATTTCGTTTAGAATGGTCATTTGTCAAAGCTTGGGTCTTTTCAAATTAAGTAAAGACAGTATTGCTTCTCTGAGTTTTACATGTATGAGTTTTTCTTTAAACATGTAATGTATATTCAAATATAGCCGAGTCAAGGCAAATGTCAGCCTGTAATTATGAATAGAACATAATAAAAAAAGAAACATAGAAGCTTCATTTTCTTTTTACCCCACTATGGATAAATGTGTTTCAATCTTTCTATACACAAAAGATCCACAAACCAGTGAAAGACGTCTGGAAAGGGTCAGGTATCACCATCAGAGCTTTGAAGAGAGGAAAAGGTGAGATAGAATGGCAGCAAATGAATTGTAATAGTCAGCTCTTAAATAATGCATGAAACAGCCAGCCACAGAGGGAAGATAAGCTGATGGCGGAGAGTAGGAGGAAGGGAAAAGAGTACCAGAGCACTTTGTAATAATTAAAAGTGCCTAAACCCTGCTAGATTCAAGAATTGGTAGGAACATTTGGAGCTGACATCAAACACACTTTCAGGACAGTATGTGTGCGCATATGCACACACTGACAAATACAGCTTCTGATAGCAAAAAGCCCCAGGAGACAAGTACCAAAACTGCCATACCAGCAAGTATTAAATAAATAAATCAGTGCTGTGACACTGATGGACAATTCAGCACCATACTCTGCCAATGCCTTTGGGTGGAGGCTCTGATTCACTGATGTCTTTATTTAATAATCTCTAGTCTTCCTGGTAGTGGGAAAGTCACGCACAGTGTTGAAAATAGGACAAAGGAAGGACATGATCTGTAGACTCTTTAGAATAAAACTAGAATACAAAACTAATTGAGTGCATTATTCTGTGTTCAGGGTTAGCCGTTTTCTTTCCACAGGTATACACAGCCCAACTGATCCTCTAGTCTCTTTGGAACAATCGAGTCATGAAAGCCCCAAAGCTTTGTCAGTCTAATCCAAATACGTATCTATCTAAAGTTTATAGAAAGGCCATCTGAGGAAACACTGAAGCACCCAAAGCCCATAGCATTATAGTGAAGCTATTTATTACTTTGATATGGTCCCCAGACACACAAGCCCATAAAAGCAACTGTATTCATCTCAGATAGATGGGTGTGATGGGTCTGCGGGCGCATTGCCAGACTTTCAACAGCACCAACTCATACTGTACAATACTTACTGTGAAACCCAAATATTGGCAATCACTCTGATGGGCTGCTGTTTAGACTCTTTGATAAGTTCAATTTCACATCATGAAAAAGGTATGGACTGAAACTTCTCAAGTCTGCCATTTTGGGAAATTCTATTATTGGTTTTTTGTCCAGAGAAGATTGATCCCACTGATGCCTGAAGATATAGACGGCACTCATGTGCAGGATCGTTTCTTGGTTGGGACAAGTATCTTCATTGAGTCTGGTTGCCATGCAACTTTCCTAAGCGTTTCTCACAAAATATTAAAAAAGCCCAGAGGACACAGTGAAAATATTAACTAAAATGGAGGCATCAAACCTCTTATCCTCACCAAACCATGCAGACACACTATAAACTGAAATGTAATCATCTACTTGGGACCCGCTCCAGTATCTATCGAAAAAAAAACACTGTCCATTTACAATTTGTATATCTCATGTAAGTACATCATTACCAGAATGGCGACCCGCTTTTAAATTCACATTTGGCTAAAGTTGTGTACTGTGAACTTTAGGACCTAAACATAAAACACATTGTTCATGTATTTTCTTAATTATGATCTTAACAAAGGTTCAAGATAGCAATTAGCACCCAGAATAATGTGAGGAACAGTAATTGCAACAACTACGGAGTGTGAAAGCTGACATTGTTACACATGCCATCCACTTGTGAGCACTTTTGGTTCAAACTGTAAGTGTGACTGCAGATAATACTAATATTACTGAAGCTTTAAACATAAAATACACCTTAACCTCCACACAACGATATTAGCTCATTTTTTTTAAAGTGACTGGAGCGCAGTAGAGATGCAGTGCATGTCCATAAACATAATTTCACCAGATTTATTGTCAGCTATCCAATAAAAGGGATTATGACAAATTAGAGTGGTTTTGACAGCATCTTGACTAAGAAAGGTTAGGCTTATTTGAGGCTAGTGCAGTAGCACTTAAAAACAATTTGACTTATAAAAGCTAATGTTCTGACAGGGTACTTGCTTTTTTAGTTTGTTTTCCATGGTTGAATGCATTTATTGTAAGTCGCTTTGGATAAAAACCTCAGCGAAAGGAAACGTAATATAGAGGATGGTAATTTAACTGATTAATGAGCTGAATAAACGTATTTCAATAATTGACTTGCCATTAATGTCTCAAACTATACATTGCTGCTTTTTCAGTCACGTCTCATGTTTATTTCATGGACATGTGTCGTAAATGTTCAGTGACACTGGTCCGGAAAGTCAACCAGTCTGCTCAAATCAGTCCAAATTCACAGACACAGTCCTCTCCTAACCTCTACAGATGCCCTGTTGTTTACTAACCTACTGTGTGTGTGTGTCTGTGTGTGTGTGTCTGTGTGTGTGTGTGTGTGTGTGTGTGTCTCTGTGTGTGTGTGTGTGTGTGTGTGTGTGTGTGTGTGTGTGTATTCATTTTCCTTGCCTCCAGTAAATTCTTTGCTCTCTAATTCCCCTCTCTGAATTCACATGTAGGACACTGAGCCAACCAGAGTACACTCATGCTAGGAAATAAATTACAACATTTCTGGACCAAAGGGGAAAAAGAGCCAGA